TCACCGCCAAACAATCTTTCACTAAACAAAAGGCAAGTTTATGCACTAAAACTACATATTTTAGCATTTCAGATATATTTCTGTGTTTTTTTATTCAGCATCTAAAAAAGTGCACTGGAAAAAATTTGAAGCGCTTACAGTTAGAGACTTTTTTGTCCTCCATTTGAGTTATAAAGCTAACATTTTTCCGCTCAGTTGGTGACCTACTTCTTGTTCCATGTTTTATCAGCGAGCTTCGAAGCGGCGAGTCTCTGAGAAATTGTTGCCTTGTTGAATATTTTTTTTAAAAAAAATAAAACAAAAGTATGTTTTTTTGTTTGTTATCTTTGATAAAATAAATACGGTTAAAGTTCCAAATACTATTCTACCGCATTAGCACTTAAAACAGCAAAAAGACTTCTCATTTCTTAAAAAAATGTGTTATCTTCAAAACTTAAAACAGTTCTATAATTTTTTTTTTTGAGCTTATAATTCTGGCACAAAAATTTCTGACTTTTGAGTCTACTCAAACTTTCTCCTATTCCATCATTCTGTAGGACTAGAAATTTGGTGTTTAATAAACTCATTTTCTTAGCTTAGCAGAGGAAAGCTATGCCTTCAAATTTATCTCAGTTAACAACTAAAACAACAACAAAACAAGTTTCTGTTCAAAAATAGTTGAAAAGGAAGAAAAAACAACCCCATTTTTGTCTTAAAATGTATATCAGCAGAAATTTTTAATCTTTCTTTTATCCCATACTAATTCCAGTATTTCTCCCGCCTCTATCCTACTAACCGTTCCAACTAAAAGTCTAGACTTCTGTTGACTGAGCGCTGGTTTTCCGAGAAAGCTACTTTTTGTCATCAGAAACGTACAATAAACGAATATTGCTCAAGCCTAGTTTTCTTAATCCCAAATTCTTTATTGGTGAATTGAAAGTGAGTGCTATTGTAAGCATTCAAAAAAATATATAGAATTTAATTAAGTTAACAAATTCATGCTTAAAAACTTATATAGTAATTCTCTAAAAAAGGTGAGCTGACAGCTTGATCAGGTGATTATAAAGTTAAAGTCAAAATTTTTCATTTTTTTAACAAGCAATTATTTGAATGCGCACAAATTATTATTAATCAGTAGTTATCTAAATTTTACTTCATTATATATATTAATAATTTTATAAACACTAATAACAGTGTTGAAGAGCTGTCTTCTGACAATATACTTTTAGAAATTTTTTATTAATTTTTTTAAACTCAAAAAAACATTCACAAAACATTCACTCATTTCAGATGCGAGTTCAATAATAAATTGCTGTATTTACTTTGAATAGTAAAAAAAAACTTTTCAGCTAACTTTAATGCAAAGATTAGGTAAGAATCCAAATTAGCTTATAAGACCGTTAGCTTATTAATACAGTTTTTTGACTTTTCGTCATATAACATTAACAGTTTCTAGCTGAAACTTTTTGGATTAGTGCTGAAAAAGACTTCTGAAGCTTCAATTATTATTTTTATCTTTAACACATTTCTAAAGTTAGTTTTGAAATATGCAATTTAGAAACAAAACTACGATATCATTATTTTTTTTAAGTTATTTAACAGGAAGTAGAGACTTATAAAATGTAATTAAATAAATGATTTAGTTGCTGCATCACTGAGTATACCTCTTTTACTGACTGCAATTAAACACTATTTCAAATTAATTTTTATCTTTTTTTTGTACAGTGGGAAAAAATAAATAAAAAAAAGATAAAAGATAAAAGAAACTCGGCAAGAGCAGTTAGTTGTTTATTCAAAGTCCCACATCAACATAAATTGAATTTAGCTACACCTGATAATGAACTTTACGTTCAGTTATTTATGCATTTTCTTCTAGCAGCTGACTTAATGTCCGTCAACTGATATAAATAACTGTTCTCAAATAACATTGCAAAAAACAAGTGAAAAAAGAA